TCCAACAATGTACCCGTCCTCCTTTGAAACTAACCCGTAGCTTCTAAATAAATAAAAATATAATTTTCTCTTATTTATTACAAACATTTATATAAATTGCACAATGAATTAGTAGATACTAGGATTACAAATACTAGGATTACATTATACAGTAATAAAAGAAATACTAGGTTACCAATAGTAACCTAGTATTTCCTTCATGAAATAATTTCTTTCTTTTATGAAATAATTTAAATGACAAAAGTCAAGTTATCTTGAATGTCAATTTATCCGAAAGTACTGCGTTTTTTAAATGAATCGAATATGACGTTTGCCAGTTCCACAATCAAGCCAATGATTTACAGAGGTTTCTGCACAGAAATTTGAAAGAGGTTTTCCATTGAGGTAGATGTTGATGATCTCGTGTTTTCAGGCTATTGCAGTATTAAATTGATAGAAAAAAACAAAAGGAAAAGTGAGCTATGAAATTGAATGATAAAAAATAACTGTGTCTTTATTCATATTATTCATTTTGATTTGTTATGGGATAGAACACCGATGATTTTAAGGAAAGTGGATAGATTTTAAAAAATCATAGAAAATCATAGAAATGAGATAATTAGAAGATATTAATTTTATACAATCACAAACTATTTAAAGTATTATCTATTAAAAATATAATTAAAAATTTATGATTAACATTAGTTTATGGACGTTTAAAGTCAATGTTTAAACTTTGCTAATCAATAGTATAGCGAAAAGCTATGTTAAATACAGGACACATAAAAATAGATAACTGTTTAAAAGAGAACCAGGCGACCGAAATTAAAAAGAAAATATATATTATAATAGGAAATCGCTTGAGCAATGTTAAAGAAATATTTTGAGGTAAAAATGAACTAGTTTAAATAATATTAAATGGTGATGAATTTGGCGAAGAAGTCGCTCTACATTGGAAATCATATAAACATGGCCGCCGAGTACTCTAACCCTAATTTGATGGAACAGCTGAATTTAAAATGCTCATTACTGGGAAAATAGCCCCTCCAGAGGCCAAAAAAGACTCACCTGAGATGCCTTGGAGAATTACATAGTGATTTTAACAGAAATTATAGAAAAATAAAGGAAATACAATTGTTTTATTTGAAGATATTTAGAGCTTGTTATGGAGACGTCGTTCCCTTATGCTGGCTGGAGCAGCTCTGAAGGTAGTTTAACTGTGGGCTTGAAGAATCAAAGGACAAAATTGGTAATACTACACCCCAAATTACAACGTTATAAAATTGAACTGTGTTATAGACTATGCCTCATATAAATATAGTGAATAAATGTAACTATGGTTTTCTGGAGTTACAGTATCCTTATCGGTCTAAATATGAACTTTACGGGGGTATATGCATTAGAATTGATAAGACACTCAAAAAGAAAAAATTATGATAAGACTGTAACAAATTTTATACTGTATCCCCTTCAGTATCAAGTATTCGGGTCTATCGCTCTCAGGAATAAAAATACAGTCATTGAAAAGTATCATGTGTCTTGAAATTCAGAAAAAAATATCGCAATATTTTTCACCTGTATTATCATCAGTTTATCAAAATTATCATCAGTATTTTCTATAAAATCATTGCATAGTGAAAGTCCAGAATGTCTTCTATACTTTAACACATCTAAAATAAAATATAATATTATATAATGTTCCAAAAACTGAAGTGGAAAGATATATATTCAATAACATAAAAACTTGCATTGCTTCAATTACTTATGAAGGCTTTAGAAGTCACGATGTTTCCAACACTCAAAAATGGGCGCCCATTCTAAAATCTCTAGATGTGAAGGCTCAACACGTCCAGTGAGTCTTGAGAAAGAGAGCCTGTTTTTCAACGCTCGAAACATGTCCACTTTTACCACCTTCATAAGTTTTTGAGGGAAATGAAGTTTTTATATTATTAATAATGATATAATACTTTACTGTTTCTAAGGGTAGAATTGAAAACTTATTATCATTCATTTTTTGACAAAAAAATATATTCATTTCTTTTTTTTTCTTAAGAAAAAAAGATTGAGTACATAGAAAGTAAGATATCAGTGAAAGCAAGTTTAATAATTGCTGTCCTTAGATGCGTGAATATCATCGTTTCTGTTGTTTCAGAATGACCTCGTCATATTGCGCAATTGGATAGACCAGCGCTTTTATCTTAATTTCGAACACGCGCGCGATTTTCTATGCTTTCATTATTCGAGAAATCTCAGAAAGACTTTTATATTTATTTATTTATTTTATTTATTTATTTTTTTTTTGTCAATTAGTGGTTTTTATTTTGTAGAATCCCGGGAAACTAATACTAGAAGAGGATCATTCCAAAGAATTGTTGGTGGAAAGGAAGCTGAACCTTTCACTTGGCCTTGGGTGGTAAGTTCTTAATTGGCTTTGTTTTATTCGTTAAAAAGATAGTAATAGATATTTGAACATGAGAGTGAACACTTGATGAGACGCCACTAATAAGATCGAAATGGAACTCTGGAATTAAATTGATCATTTCTATTTAAATAGATTGAAAACTGTATTCTCTAATTCGTTCCATTTTGCGTTTAATATTTCATATTAACTCTTTCTTTGTCGGCTTCGCATCTCATACGTTCGGTGTTTTTGTGCCCGTATGATCGACGCCGATCCATACACGACGAAGAGAAAAATGGCATCAAAATTTATTGCACCGCTACTTACACGTCTCTTTATATCACGCTGTTATTTTTGTACTTTTGAATATTGCTAAGAATAACGCAACTAGACCCACTTTCTTCGCATTTTTCGCAGTGAGATTTCCCGCCTTGAATGAAAATCAAAATCATATTGAATTTTTATGACAAAATAAGCGAAAAAAAAATAATTTGTAATTAATTATTTCCGTTTTGTGATTAATGTGATTTTAACACTCTGATGCCCAAGGTAGGTTAAGAAGGTTAGATGCCACGGTTAGGTAATTTAGAAAATTATTTTCCAAAATATTTATTACCTAATTTTAATAATTATTTTATGCAGAAATGTATCTTCAACACCGTAAAGCAGTAGAGTTAATAAGTATGTTATCACGATGTATTTTTTTAAGATAAAACTTGAGTGCATTGCAGGGAAAACTGGAGATTAGTGGACGGGACGCGTCTTTCCAAATCAGACATCAATAAGAGCCCTTATTTTATACAACGCGTACTTTTTCGCCAAGAGCAAACATGTATCGTCAAAAGTGGCAGATGAATGAGGCTGACAACGAAATGTATTTTATGCAGCTTCGTTTTAAGAGCTTTTTTAATATTCTGGTTGTAAATTAAATGAATGGACTTTTTTTAATTGTCTACTTTGTAGTCACAGTTAACAAAATGAATTTAAAATAGTGGAAGCAAGCAAAATCATTATTGAAAAAAAATTTTTTTTTTTTTTTTTTTTGGGGGGGGGGGTAATCAACTTCTGTTTTAAATTTACAACGTTTAATAATTGGTAAGCAATCTATATATATATTTCTCTTACATGGCAACAAAAAAAAGCCTCATTACAACTCCCCGAATGGCAACGCTAGAAAATCTACCAATGATTGCCGCTAAAAATCTCACATGCCAAATCTAGCTGAGATGGCTCAACATATAGAGCTTTTAAAAACGGAAACTGAAATAACCAGAGAGAGCATAAGCTAGGCAGAAGTGAGTAGTCTTTGTCGATAGATCTCTATTTTAGTATTTTGTCGAAAGCGCGTTTTTTCATGAATTTATGTATTACGAATTTATTTGACGATTTTTGATTTATATCACGAATTTATTTGTTTTACTAGAATTTATTTGTTTATACAGGTTTTTCCATTACAATTCACTTATTTCAATTTTTAATAGACTTAATTATAGCCAAAATTTTAACCTTTTTAAAGAGATATTAGTTTTAGAAATTTTATTTTAAGATTTTATACTATAGCACATTTCTAATAGGTTTAACGAATTACATGTCATTTATTTGAATTCAAATTTATTTTAATGACTTAGTATTTACTAAAAGGATGTATTTTTTTTTAAAAAAAGTTGTTATATGGATTTGAATGATTGTTTTGAATTCTTAGAATTTTGTGCATTTGCAATGTACCTTAGTTAGTAGCGAGCGAAGCGAGCTTGGTTTGCGAAGCAAACCATATAAGATTGCGTAGCAATTTTCGGGCGTTGGCGAGCGTTAGCGAGCAGGGGGCGCAGCCCACTAGTCTTATATGAAACTCTGAACTTAATTTAACAAAAACGCACGGGGAAAAAAATAGCGGTTTTTAAAATGTTTCAGACACATATGAAAACAACAAATTAAAATTTATTATATTTACGTTTTTCAAGTGGATAATAGTTTCATAGGATAACAAAATAATTGGAAATAATTTTATTTTCTGCGTCCTAAAACAAAGATTGTAAATCAGCATTTTCGAAAGATGTCAGGGGGAAAGGGAAGTTTTTCGACGGCGATCGAAGTTTTGTATTCTAAATGATGAGTCTAATGATAATATCCATTTCAGTTAGACAAAAATTAAAATATTTTTCTAATTTAAAATATTTAAAAAAAATAGTTTTTTAAATTTTTATTTTTGTTTTATGTTTGTAAGTTTCTTTGAGTTCATACTTGAATTTTGATAAATAAAGTAGTGATAACATCACCATTAATTTTATTCGCATTATTTAAGAATAATATTAAATTCGATCGAAAATTCGGCTATCAAAATATTTTATTTATTGATAAAAGTTTTCTTGCAGCTATAATGATACCAATGAATCCTTCATTGCCACCAGGCATAGTGTTACAAAAAGAGATTTGAGTGTATTGGCTTGATGGAAAGTGTTAAAAATTTCGAATATAAAATTCACCCATCACAGATCCGAACGTGATTTAATAAAAACTGTATTAAAAATAAAAAGAAATGTTTTTAATATATTTGGAAATTTAATAATGAAAATAATTTTTTTTCTTAATTAACAATATTTTAATTGGTATTTTCATATGCGAAAATGATTCGCGTTAATTTCAAAATTGATTACTTTAAATAGGAATTTTTAATGTGGAATGAATATAAATACTTCATTAAAAGTATGAGTTGTACAATAAATGAAAAAGTAGTTTTTACCATTCTCATCAAACTTAATTGTGGTCATTAATATATATTTTAGAATAGTGAAATAAAACACAAAATTAAGACACAGTAATGATCACCGTAGGAAAATTTTAAAATAAAAAAATTAACATGTTAATGAAAAGCCAAGATGAATTAAATCAGTGCTAACAAAACCATTTTCTTTCAGTGGTATCCCTGGGGTAGAATCACTTAGAATATAAGATTTTGATCTTTATTTTAGACAAAAAAGTCTCGAACTTAATTTGTAATTTTTTTCTTCTATCGTTCAAATTTCATATACTATAATTTAATTTTCAGATTTTATATCCAAAACATTTGTGACGATTACAAAAATTTTGCGTTTAAAGGCCAAGATAAAAAAAAAACCAATTAAAAATTTTAATATATCTTATTTTCTAATTATCTAATTTTGATTTATAAAGTTTTTTTCCTAGACATCAGGAATCTATTGCCTTCTTTCCCATTTCATCGTTATCTTAAAACAAAAAGTTTTCGATTTTTATTAATACTGCACAATTTTAAGAAATTAAAATTATGTAGTTATTATTATTTATATCTTTATTTTTGAATATTACTTGCGTGAAGTTTCATAGAACCTTGCGCACATGCTCACTTTCTCTACTCTTCATGGCCCGCCTGCATACTAAAAGTTAAAATTTCTAGTTCCATGGTATACTATTTGAATTAGGGAAGAAATACATTCCATTCATTTTTATGTTAAATAAGTTCGACTAACTGCTGCTAAATAATTTCAAATACAATTCTGTTTCAACCGACCAAATATCTTGTTGAATAGAGATATGGGTTAATTCTTCTCCATTGTGATTTTTATTAATTATTATTATTATAATTTTTTGCGTCTCCCAATTTTTTTTTTAATATTATAAAATCGAAAATCTGGAAGACGATCAATGTAAAAAAAAGAGAATCACATTGCGAAAAAATGGGGTTACCGGAAAAGGAATGAAAAATAGGGGTTAATTGTTAATTGGCGAAATTTGATTGCGGTTAGGAGTACTAAATGATGTCTGATTTAGAAAGGTGCACATCGCATATTTCACCACCAATAGGTCGAGCAAAAAAATGTTTGCTATCAAAGGTATTTTGCATTTAGGATAGAACATATATTAAGTTTCAGAAATAAAAAATTACTTTTTTTGAGTTGCAAATTCGAGTGTTATACAATGGAATTTTCGAAATCGTACTTATGCTTGTTTTTTATAGTTATTTGGCATTTTAAATAGTTTGTAATTCTTAGACACATTCGTATTTGCTCTCTAATCGATTTAGCAAATGAAAATGCAGATTTTGAGAATACCTAATTTGACAATGAGAAAATGTCACTGCTCTTGTTATTCCTAAAAATTAAAGACACGGTACAAAAAATATTAGATTGTTTCTTTATTTCATTTGCTTTTATTTCTGTTTTTTCTTAGGCGGCGCTTTATAAAGTCACTTCATCTGGAGGTAATCGTTTTCTTTGTGCCGGATCATTGATCAACGAAAATTTCGTATTAACTGCAGCCCATGTTTTCACACCAGATGATTTAAGGTATGCCTGCCCTGTTTTTTATTTAAAAAATTTATTTCCTTGTTCTGCCATCATGTTTAGAATTTTAGTGTAAAAGTCGTTGTTGTGAGATTATACAGCATTTAAGGTAAATCGGATGTTTAATCCCAAATCTCTGAATCACAAATAACTGGGTAAATTAAAATCTGTTCCCATTTCATTCTGTAGTAGTTGAAGGCATGTGGCATCTGTACTTCGATTGATTTCAAATGAGGCCATGTCACTTTCACCGAAATACTTGACACACTTTATATTTTCCTTTTTTTGCAAACTAAAAAGCGTGATTTTTAATCCCTTCCTTCTCGCTCCAGTGGAAATGACGGGGTGAGGTTTCGCCCTCTATTTCTCGCTCCCGTGATATTTCCGGGCTGGAGTGTTCAATAGTAACGTGCCAATAAGAATAAAACTGCTTCATTTCTTTTGCACGGAAAACATTTTATTTCTCATTTTACGCACCAGATGGTAGTACCAGACTATTTTTAAGGTAATTGTAGATAGTTAGTTAATTTTAAACTAGATGTCAGCACTAATCAGGGATACAGGGATAAGAAAAATAGGCACTTTTATGACCGTTTTCTTTGAAATTAACCGATCGTTAAGGGGTTAAAGACGTGTTAACAAAAAATTAATTGTAAATAATCTGAATTTCAGGACATCCACGTTTGTGGTACTATTAGGCACACACACTGGAAAGGAAGCCCGTGCTGAGTATGTTGTTATGAATGTGGTACAGCACCCAAAGTACGAGCAACGATACTATTATCACGATATAGCATTACTGAGGTTGGAGCGTCCAGTAACCTTTGACGATTATGTTATGCCTGTTTGTTTACCTTCTCCTTCGGTTCCTCTTTTTAGAGATGATGATTTGATTGGTAAAAAAGTGACCGTCATGGGATGGGGTGATGATGCTTTTGGTACGTATGTTTTTAATTTCTAAAATTTTCTTAGTACCTCTCAGAAAAGAAACTAAAAAAATTACAGTTGGAGTCCTTTAACACGAAGCAAAATTTTAAACTGAATATACAATCTTACTGAAAAGAATCGATTAAACGTAAAATTGAAATTTTAACCTGAAATATAATTTAGGTATCCGATTGGTTAAACTGGCTATTTTTGTTTAAAAATGCTTAGTTCAAATTTTAATCTTATGTTAGGTAAATAGGGGTTCTAAAATTATAAATTTAAAGTAAAGTTAAAAAATGTATGAAGTGTTTTTCAAAATAAGGGCGAGTTGGAGCTTAAATTTTTTATGTCGCGCAAACATTTCTACAATAATAATCATAAATTTGAGAATATATCCTTTCTCCAGGTCAATAATGTTATTACCTGTGTTTTAAATTAAAATCTTATGAAATTTTTCAAGAGATAACGAAATGAGACTAAGTATATTCTTTAATATTGAATTTTTAAAGGGAAATTCGAGATATTCTTACTTTAACTTAATCAAAAAAATTGAAAATTTCGCACTTTATCAGTTTGAGTACATTAACGCCCTATACACGTTACCTATATTCGTTTGAATAATTTATATGAATTTGAGGCGTAATTTGTTTATAGAATAGTCCAGCTCAAATTTTTCAAACAATAGGAAAAATCTGCCGCCAGATGTATAAAAGTGGATGAGCGATTAAATTTCATTGTGTCCAGATCACGCTATTGGTAGAAAATAACATCACTACGTATGGGAGACATTATGTATCAGCTGGAGTTTTCCTTACTTTAGCTGCAGATTTCGATTTTACGTGTTCTCTGAATTTATAAATATTTACGCGCAATATCACGTTCTAATAAATGTTTACGCAATATCAGTAATAAAGTTTATTTTCATGACTTTGACTCTAAAAGAAATTATGACAAAATTGGGTGGATTGTAAATAATGTTTTTATTATTGATCAATTTTAATAATTAAAATAAATATTTATTGAATCATACGCATTATACATTATAACGTTTGCAACAGAACCAAGCAAAAAGTAGATTGATTGTGTTTACAATGCTAAAGGTGCTAACACTAACGTAAGATGGTGCACAGCTTGCAACAAGAACAGACAGTAATACACAAATGAAATTATGCTAAATCAGGACTGCCAAAAAAGCGAGTTATTCAAAATCTAGCAACCATGTCACTTTTTTTTAAAAATACATCTATAAATAAATAAAACAAATTTTCACTTCAAACTCACCAGAGTTACTTAATAACATTTAATATCTTATGAAACGCGACAGATTTGAGCTCAGAAATAATCTAATTTACTTCTTTTATTAAGAACAAAATTATCCGTTGGAAAATATCGCCTTGCAGAATAAGCAATAGTAAGCAGTTGCAAACTTTCTAACCGGAACTAGAACTGGTATTGAGCTCGTGATTGTTATTGTTTACATTTATATTGAAAACACCATCCATACATGCCATCTCCTTTCCCACAAGTAGTGATTTCATTTTCGACCAATAGCGTGATCAGGCCACTTTGAAATTTAATCGTTCGTTAAAAGTGGGCAGCTATGAGACTATCTTGTAATTCCTAAACACTATTGCAGGAGGTGTGACGAGTCGAGTATTGAAGGAAGCCACCTTTCCCATTGTGTCTAGAGTAGAGTGTAATGCCTCTTACATCCAAGTAGTTTCGAACCGTTTTCCAAGAGGTATAACCCATGATATGCTATGTGCTGGTTCACCTAAAGGCGGAAAAGACGCATGTCAGGTAAACAATAGATCAATTCTTAACAAACACTCTGCGATATTTAGGGGGAACAATTGTTAAAAGGACGCTATATCACGGAAGAAACTTTTGAAGACTAATTCTGTTTTACTTGTAATTTACCCCATAAAGGACCAAAGCAAGCATATAAGCGGTATGACAGTTTTCCTTACTGCTTCTAGTGTCGCGTATATGGAGGAAAAAGTCAATAATGTAGGGTAAACTAACCAGTGAAGGAACAATTAAGCTCCGCTTGTCTTTTAAAAATAATTACATATTAATTTCAAAATTCGTGACAGTGTCAACATATTTGTTACTAAATGCAAATTATGTAAAAAAAATTGTAGAGAACTTAGATAATATTGTTTTAAAGTTTTGGAGGTTCAAATAACAAGTAGTAAGAAGACCAAGTGAAGGAACAGCTCTTACCAGTGAATGAACAGCCAGTAACGGAACACTTAATTTTGGTTATTTTTTAATGCTCTTTATGAATTTATAAGCCATACAAGTAGTTAAAAACAAACCTAGTTCTTAAAATTATAACATATTAATACTGGAAAATGTTAACTTTTGTTTTAATCATGAATTGAAAATTAAAGTATCAACATATTAGCACATACTGCTCATTCACTGGGAAATCAATGCCCAGTAAAGGAACATGCCTGTTCCCTCACTGGTTAGAAGTTGTTCTTCGTATTTTTAACATACTTTTCATGCGGAACATCACTAAAGGTACAAGAAAATTAAATTTTATCTTTTATTTTCATTAACTTAGAAAAAAAACCAGTAAAGGAACACTTGTTCCTTAACTGGTTTTTAATCGTTCGGTGATCCAGTGAATAAACACCCCTAATCTCAGTACTCTATTATGCTTAAAAAAATAAAACGTAACTTCAATAACTATATTTTGAATTCTCTTTTTCACAGTGAGTAAAATAAAACTATTACATGCAATTAATTCCACTTCAAACATATAAATACAAACACTCACCTTATAATTTTTTCAAATAAACAAGGTGTTGCAGAGATAATAACAAATTCAAAAAATTCCAAAATTTTTCAAAAAATTCTATTTGACCAGGTAATCCAAAACATTGCTAGATGACTTCCTATTGTTTGGCAGTAAGCTATTGTTACCAATCAATCTAAAGAAAAACTTTCAAATTCGTATTTTTAATCAATATATATGAAATGTTCCTTCACTGGGTAGTGTTCCTTCACTGGTTGGTTTACCCTATTATATTATTACACTTATTGTTGTCCTTTTTAAAATTCACTTAATAATAATTGCTATAAAATTATAGTTATAATTAATACTATAATTATTTTTCATAATTATAATTAATGATGTAATTATTGATGAGAAGTAAACTTTAAATATCTCCGGACCGTTAAGGGTTGAAATTTAAAGGTTAGAGAAAATTGATTTCAGGTAAACTTTGATATTTCAAATATGCTGAAAAAAAATTACGAAATATCTAAATGGAAGAAATTATTGCAGGATTACTTGCCCACTGCGTGATCAATAGCCGAGCTATAATTTCTTTGCATTTCGATATTTTGGAGGGGGGAAAATCAGCGTTTGAATTATCATGTTTGAATCAACTCAATTCTCTCTGAATTTCAAATTTTAATTTACTTCTGAAGGTGAAAGAGAATTTGCCAGGAAGGTTTACTTCCGTGTAGCGTCCTTAATTAATCCACGAATAAGGAGATTATTATTATTTTTTTTGTTGCTTAATTTGTTTTTGATGCCATGCATCTGTGAATTGTTTAATAAAATACTTATCTCGTCGATTATCAGGTTTTTCTCCATACTTGCTTAACAATGAAAGGAGTTATCCCAAAATAAGCTCCCCCACAACAGCTTAGAGTGTTCTTTTACAAACATAAAATGTTGGATCCGGTGAATTTTCTGGCTGCAAACGCACTGTAATTTTTCGTTGTTTTAGCCATATCTTAAATGATTTCTGATGTATGAGGTGAACAGAACATTAATCATGTTAGAAAATAAGATCATCCTCAAACAAGTTTTCGAACTATGGAATCATATAGTGCTTGAGAATATACTAACCTTTTTGAGGATGCAAACCCTTCTAAGTTCATTTATGCTCATGCAACTCCATGTCCTCACATTAGCTGCGGATTTAACTGACATATGCATCAAATGATTCATTTCATCCTCCAAATTCAAATGCTTTGATTATCTTAGGATTCACAGAACAAACTTTCGTTGCAAAATTATTTCTCCTTTTAATCCTTCAAACCCCATAACACTTTTGACTTGCATCATCTTATTCTTACAATCTTTCATTTTATAACTGGTTTTGTTTTGAGAACACGAGACTAAAGCTTAAATTTATTAAGACACCTGAAAGTTGTTTTCGAAACATTAATTCATTCTTTTCATTGACGATGCAAATATCGTGCTCCTGAATCTTTTTTAAGTAAAGTCTTCATTACTTTTTCCACTATTACAACGATTAATTCTAGAAATTCCATCCTTCTGATACTGTTGTTGAATTCTACAAACACTTGATTCTGTGAGTTGGATATATATTGTCATTAAATTGTAGTTTTATTGATTCTAGAATATCTCGTATACATCCCATTTTGAAACAAATTCCAAGCATAAAACACAGATAAAAAAGTCTTTTTAAAATAATAAATCTGCAATAAATTTAAAATTTTCATAAGAAACTCGTTAATTAATTATTAAAGTCAATAGGAATACAAATCTACTACGTATTCATATTATTTAAAATTTATTTATGAACTATTAATGAAACTATTATGATAATTTAGACATGACACTATTGTGATAATTTAGACATGACACTATCATGATAATTTAGACATGACACTATTATGATAATTTAGACATGACAAAATTATGATAATTTAGACATGACACTATTATGATAATTTAGACATTTTATGTTTTGCAGGGAGATTCTGGTGGTCCTCTGACTACTATAGAAAATGGGAGATACACACAAGTAGGAATAGTATCCTTCGGCTTCAAATGCGGTGATAAGGACTACCCAGGAGTTTATACTAAAATATCTTCCTACCTTAGCTGGATTGCAGCAAATGCTCGCTGTGACATCTAATCAAAGTGAACTAAAGCTTTGAATCTGGCAAATTGAAACCTTGGTTACTATTTCATTGAAAATCAGACAACTTAACCTTGCGTTAGAGACAAGGCCGAATATTTATTTGATCAATGTCATGTACAATATACGGAAGTTTTTTTACCAAAATCTAAATGGTAAAATATAATAATGGTAAAATAAATTTTTTACCGAAATTTTAATAGTAAACTTGCTTTTGCAATAATACATAAAATATACAGAAGTATTTTTACTAAATCTAAATAGTAAATTCACTTCCTCAATATTACGTAAATCATACCAAAATGTTCTTACCGAAATAGAATGGTAAATTTATTTTATCAGTATTATATACGTACCAAAATAGGCTTTTTACCAAAATCTAAATGGTAAAATATTGTCAACATTATCTTACCGAAAGGTAGTTGGTAAAATCTATTCAGTTAATGTTTAGTAAATTTTACGTATAAAGCGTATTGACTTTACCAATTTCCCAAAAATGTACGCTTAATGTACGTATCATGCTTCATACGATGTATTATGTATATATTAAATATGATGTATATATTAAATGTATAGATTGACACACGAAAAACAAAGATGTTTTTTTTCCCTTTTAATAATATCAATGTAATAATCTTTAGATACCTATATAATATGTTTATAAAATATTATATTAGTAAAAGGTATTTAAGAAAACAACTTATTCGCCTAATTTATTCTCGGCATATTCCATTGTATGTAAATAAATCAATCATATATCAATATTATTGAAGTATTGCGCATTGCCAACTTTCTGCACTTTTTGCAGAGAAGTTTTCTAGTGTTAGTTATGTTTATGTTTTATTGAATTATTTTTCATTCATTTAAAATTATTTTCCACATCACTACACATGAATGATTTAAAAGTTCATATGCAACGCCCCTTTGTTTCAGCTCTTTCGATGTGAAGCTTTTAAAATGTTGGCATAATTGCCAAAAGTTCCGGAAGCTTTGGTTTTTAAATGTCTACCGCTCTATAAAATATTTTGCAAAGAAGTGTAGTAGTTGCCAGGCCTGAACATGAAAACTTCTCATCTGATTATTTATTATCATATTGTATATTTTTACATTTCCATGCTTTATGTTAGCAGTATTAATCTTTTTTTTCTACATACCTGTGTTCCATTTATAGCTTTTTAACACGTTGAATGCCATTTAGGTCACCGGTGACCGGCACTGAGTTTGTTCGTAGAGCCACGGGGGTCGTCGGTGACGGGCGGAGCCAAGATTATTTAGAAACACATGATTCTAGTAAATTTTTAATTTTTTTAAAACTACTATCGTTACTAAAATGGTTTGAAGAAATTAATGCAGTATAGAACACACAGAAATTCATCATAATTCACCACTTTTTCCAGATATGTCATGCTAAAACTTTTAGAAAACTAGCGAAATATGTCCAATATTTGCAAATTTAGTTTGTAGTTATTTACCGTGTGGTCAGACGGGCAAGCCATGCAAAATTATCCTGGCATTCAACGTGTTAAATTAACTTTTCTGCACAATTATATTGATGATCACTGATTCATACTCCCAGTACATGTTTATTAACCTCTTCCAAACGGGCGAGTCATTTATGCATTCTCAGGGTGTCGATAATCAGTGTAAAAAAAGATAAAACTAGTAGCTAAACTATTTTAAAGCAGTTTATTTGTGGACGGGGTAATAATAGTTTGCTTCATTTAACTCCCCACTACTTAGTTCGAATTAAAAATTGCATAGTTATACTTTTAACACACTAGGATTGGATGTGTTAGACTTAGAGTAAAAGCAAAAATAAGTCTGTCAAATTAGCTATGCCCAAACCTAAGCTACCGCTTTTTATTTTTTACAATCCTGATTCTGATTCCGTATTAATACATTTATGACTCTCCCGTTCCGAAAAGGTTAAGCTTACTTTGTCTTGTAAATGTGCGTTGTACTAATTAGTAATAATAAAACATACATTGAAAAACTTTTAAATTGTAGATTGGAATTTTATGCACTCATTTTCCTTGTTTCAGATCTCTTCAAAAAATAAGTGAATCAATTAGAGCAAATGATGATTTAAGCTACAAAATCAGACCAAAAAAGACACTTTCGATTGCTTAATCAGAGGGACAATATTTTCAAGATTACGGCTTTTATAATTTGTGGATCAAAAATCAAAATCCGATTGAAAAAAATGTTTGATTTTGAGCCTCATAGAGTGATTGAGTAACTTAAAATATCGTCTGCACCTAAACTCATACTAATTAAGAGACAACGTTCTCAACAAGTTTTATCAAGAATAAAATAAAAACTGTTTGCTTAATTATATTTTTGAAAATTATTTTGGAGAAATAAGACATTCATATTCCATATAACAAGTTAATGTTATAAACTCATGTTTGTGAAAATTGCAACACCATGAAGGAATCGTCATAATTAAATGAAATTTAATACACAGCTGACCAGTAGTAGTACAAATAAATGATTACATTTTCAAAGCAAACAAACAATAACAAGAGATCAAAATCAGTATTTTGTGTAACCACCACGCGCCGAAATAAGTGCTGTTACACGACGTGGCATGGAGTCAAACAAATTTTGAATGTCTGCCTGAGGAAGAGTATTTCATATTGTTTGTATGCGTACCCAAAGTTCGTCTGTAGAAGCAACAGGACGATGATCACGAGTGAGACGCCGACCAGCGAAATCCCACACATGTTCAATCGGCGATATATCCGGGGAATACGCAGGCCAAGGAAGAAGCTGTACCTGCCGCGAAGAATTGCACAGTCCTAGCAATATGAGGGCGGGCATTGTCCTGTTGAAATACAGCGCCGGGAACAGCTTGGGGCTGTAGAACTTCACTGATGTGCCGGTTGCTGTTCAGATTGCACACAATTCGTAGCAATTGAAATCGTCCATGATATGCTATGGCACCCCAGACCATAACTCCGGGTGTTCGTCCACTGTGGCTTTCGATAACGCACTCCGGAAGGTGGAGTTCACCGGCATAGCGTATGACACGAATGCGGCCATCATGGTACTACAAATTAAAGAGGGATTCGTCAGAAATCACGACACGCTGCCAATCAGCACGCCAGTCCCTATGCTGGTTGGCCCATCGCAGCCGCAGGTGGCGATGGTTTAGCGTGAGGGGGATCCTGTATAAAGGAGTCCCTTGCGCGCAATCCACGCTGCAGCAGACGTCTATGAATTGATGAAGCACACAATGAAACACCTGTAGGTGCTGCCAGTTGTCTAGTGGGGGCCGTACGGTCAGTCAGCGCCATGCGGACCAGATGTCTATAGTCGCGAGCTGACGTGACATATCGGGGTCCACTCCCAGATTTCCAAGTTGTCTGACACTCGTTCGTCCACTGCTTCCAAACACGCACCACTGTGCTGCTGTTACGCTGCACACGAGCGGCATCTGCACCATAAGATAATCCAGCTTCCCGAAGACCGATGGTTCTCCCCCGTTCAAAGTCCGTAAGTTGCTGAGAACTCGCTCTCTTTCGTCGAAGAGGCATAAGTAACGACCAGGCTAACGTTTACCACAAGCAGATTACCACCGATAACCATATACCCGTCGCTACAGCCGTCTATTTATTCGGATCCATCAGCCGTTCAGAGGGCGCTGCTCAGCATGAGCTTGCGCTACGGGTCTAAAATTCTAATCATTTGCATAACATGCTCTACTTTGCATTTCCTGAAAATTTCAGCCATCTCGCATAAGTCCTTCATGGTGTTGAAATTTTCACAAACATGAGTTTAAATATGATAATTTTGATGTGAAATTATTTTATTGTCCCGACTGGTCTGTGTAGGGGTTAAGGAACTGCCCTTGCATCAGAAAGGTTCTGGGTTCGAATCCCGGGCAAGTCATGGATGTTTTTTCCTTCTCTGTATTATCTGTCCTTACTGTGGGAGCAACGTTGGCCCATCTAATATGGTGTCCCTGAAAGAGTGGCCAACTAATCTGCTCTTCAGATGCCTGCATGATACCCAGGTGGGTCATTCTAAAAGGTGGGCATTGGAAAAAAAAATTACTGTTGTTTTTTATAGTAAAGATGGTAGTCAACATTATAAAATATGAAATTATTCTCAGCATAAGTGCCGTATCACTTCTGACGATACTATGAATAGTACCTTCAAAAAACTAAACTATGACGCTACTATTTTATGAAGATACTTAATACATCACTACAAAACGTTGTATTTTCGCTACAGTAGTCTGAAATTGATTGATGGGTATGTTCCACTGTAAGGAGTTCTTGGTTCTTGAACAAATTTTATTTTATTTTTGGTCCAAACTAGACTATTAAATTTTATTTTTAGACAAAATTTAATTGCAAATAATAATTCTTTGCAATAATCATCCATACATGCAAATGTGTGACATAAGAAAAGAAAACACATGATAGAAATCATACTTTTATGGCAGAAGATCACTCCTCTCCACAATGTCAGTGTCATTTTTAATCTTTCTTGTTTAATAGTACAAAATATAATTTTTGACAAACCCCTATCGTTTTTAGCTCTCTTTTAAAAAGTACAAAAATTACTAAGAAAATTGATGGAAATTTTTTTAATTTGTCAAATCTTTAAATCAGATTTTTTTCATTAGTTTCCCAAATACGATCAATACAAAACTAAAAGAATTTTTTTTTTTAATTTTTTCGTACTTGCTCAGTATGAAAGGGCTACTTTAAATTACTGTACTCAGCTTTTAATGAAGAATTTTTTTTCAACTTTTAAAAAACTAATTCTGAAAATAATTTTAAATTGCTCCCGAAATATTGGCAAATTTTATAGAATATTCTTACTGTTATAGCAAGAAAAACGTAAGACAAAAAATTAATTATTTTTATGAGAAAAAGGCTATATCCCCATAAACATAAGCAAAGTTCTCGAAATTTTATGCAGTTATTGCAAATAACAACCGAAGTAATAAATACAAGTTACAAGTTTACTTCTTCATTAGAGTTAGAGTGTTCAAAAATACTTGTTTTCTTACTATTGTCAGGACATTGTCAGTCCCTCCAACCTCCGAAAGCTGTAAACCAGTAAACCTTAATGCCATTTATGAAAAATCGCATGAACTAAACACCTCTAAGGTTACAAATGTGTATGTATATATATATNTATTAATATATATATATATATATATATACAGTCTCTTGACAAATTATTAGGCGCACTATAAGATTTTAAGTAAAATCTTAATTAACAGGTGATGCTATACATCTTTATTGTTTTTACACGACTGAAACCGGTTTGCTTGAAACCGGAGTTAAATTTGACGACCTGATAAATAAGACAATATATTATATAAATATCGAATATTTATTATATCAGGTATTATATTAGTATATAAATTAATTGGACCAAACTATTAGATGCGCAGTAGTGTTTTAATAATTACATGTTCTGCACGAGTTTATATGTAATATTTTTATATTTAAGCACACATGTAATGGATTTTTATTCAGGAGATTTTTTATATACTTCCTACTTGTATTTATTTTTAACGTATTGCATTATAATGTTAACCAATTGAGACACTAACGTAAACATGTTCAAACTGGGTTCATCCACGTAAAAACAATAATGTTGTGTAGTATCACCTGATAATTAAGATTTTACACAGAATCTTATAGTGCGCTTAATAATTTGGTCTACATATATACATATATCGAAGCCCAAAAGTTTTTTACTGATAAAATATCACCAGTAAAATACATTTAAATATGAAAAAAAAAGACTTTTGAAAACAAAAATCTCTGTCAAAAATATTTTAGCATTTAAATTCGAGATTTTTTTTTCAATGCACAATATTAACAAATTAAAAAATCACGTACTGAAATTTAGAAAAAATTTATATTTGAGAAATTGTCGAATTGAAATTTTTAAACATTAATTTCATTAATCGCATGAAATGAAGGAATTTCATTAAAGCTAAATTTTTTTAGTGAAAATTTGTCGTAAGTTATGACAAATTTTGTTGACTATAACACAACACTTGATGACTTATAACATTTAATTGCAATAAATGAATGAAAAATAACAGCAATTGAAAAACAAAGGAGGCGAAATCCAACGAGAAAGAAACGCAGCTTTCTGATCTGAGTCTTTTATTTCATGTTAACTCTATTATTATTTACTAAATCTAAGAAGTGTAATAAAAATATATTTTGAAGGATATCACTAAAAATGACAAGCAAGTAATATTAATCTAGACATTACTTTTTAATATCTAATGAAATATCCATTTCCTGCTTAAAAGTTCAGTTATATAAAGTGACCGGATATGACACATGAAAGGTGATTTATCATGTCATGAAGCACTAAACAAATGAAATCTGTTCAAAACATGCATTTTATTTCTAAAAACTGAGTTTTATTGCCAGAGTGTTTTATTGTTTTCTGAAAACCCGTTGTTGATGTCTGCAAATAATATACAAAATTTGAATAATGTATTTTTCAACTAAATGGTTCACATTTATGATTTTATTAGTATCTGTATAATTACGATAACAACTGTGTAAGTACCGTCAATATTTTTACATAATTCTCTCAAACGTAGTGGAATCTGTATTGTTGAATGCACAACAATTTATAACTTTATTGTATATTATATCGTCAAAGCATGAAATGTGATCTTTTTTTCTATAGGTTTTTCATTAATCATTCTATAGAATAACCAGGCAATGTGTAAAAAATTGTTTCATATTTAATAAGTCAATTTTAAAAATTTATTGAATGTTGGATTAAACACATTGACTGTAACATAGACATAAATGTATTTAAGTTGTAAGCATTATTTAATTGGACCAGGGGCCGGATAAACTGCATTATTTCTGTAGTTAATTGCAACTACAATTACTTTATTACGAATTATTTTATTATTAACCTAACTATAACTAAATTTTTTTAAATGCAGTTACTACAAATTATTTCAGAAATGTAGTCACTACTTCTACTTTTAGAAGATGCAATTTGCTGGAGAACATACAGTGTATAGAATTTACTTCTGAACAGCAAATATTTAGATTAACAAATGCTAGAAAATTATCTAATAATTGTAATTTTGTTAAGTGTTTAGTGCTTCGTATTTCCTCTAAGAAATAAAGTACTTTAAAAACAATAGGGAAAATTTGTTCCATTCTATTGAAATAAAAGCAATGCTTCCTGAGTATACGGTGTGTCAAAGAAAAAACGGGGACCACCCTAAATAACTTTCGATCTAATGATTGGATTTTCACTTACAAGGATTCAATCTTAATGGCTCAAGGGGGTGACCTCAAATATGCCAATTAATTAGTTCATACAATATTTTAAGTTACGAAATCAGAAATAGAAACTTACTTTCTTGGAATAAACTTACTTGTTTTTCGATGAATTCGGATTTCTGACATCCAAACTGTAGGTGGTAGCCGCAATGTGGAAAATATGGTCCCATGGGTCAGAAGTGCTCATCGAAGTTCGGACCCCTTAATGTTAATTTTACTTTTTGTGTATTTTGCTGTATCTCAAGAACTTTTTAAGCGAATTGAAAAAAATATTCATACAATTATAAAATTCATTTATCCAAAGATAATCTCATGCAAAAAATAACTTTTAGCAAATATTTATTATTTTTTATTATTTTACTTAAAAATGGTCAAAAAAGTTTTTGAATTGTAAGGTATAAAATTTTTTGAATCATTTTAAATAATAGTACTTTTATATGGCAAAATACAAATTTTAAGCGAAATCGGTCGAATAGTTCCTGAGAAATTGAATCTCAAATAAGTCAGATACTTAAAATTCGATTTCTCAAGAACTTCTCGACCGATTTGGCTGAAATTTTGCATTTTGCTATATAAAATTACACTCTTTAAAATGATGCAAAGAATTTTCAATTCGAATTTTTTCGACCATTCTTAAGTAAAAATAATTGAAATTAATAAATATTCATTTAAAGTTATTTTTTGCATGGGATTATTCTTAGATAAGCGAATTTTGTAATTGTTTGTAAAAAATTTTCAATTCGCCTTAAAATTTCTCGATACATAGTGAAATAAACAAAAAGTAAAATTAACATTAAGGAGTCCAAACTTTGGAGAGCTCTCCTAACCAAACTATTGGGACTATATTTCCCATGTTGAGGCTACCCCCTATATTTTGTGGGTCGGAAATACAAATCCGTCGGAAAAAAGGTATGTTTATTCAGAGAAAGTACGTTTCCGTGTCTGATTTTGTCACTTAAAATATCATCTACACTTATCAGTTAGCATATTTGAGATTACCCTCTCTAGAACGTGAAAATCCGATCAGTAGATCGAAAGTTATTCAGAGTGGTCCGTTTTTTTTTGCGCACTGTACATTCGCAAAGTGATATTATTCATATCGGCTAGTTAAAATATTAATAATACCCATTTCTAAATATGTAATTCTTCTTAACGCTCGGCCGCAGGGGTATTCTCCATTTGACGGACATGCAAAGATTTGTACCAATTATATTTGAAAAATCCGTTGCCCTTGTACCCTGTTTCTAACTAACTGTGCTAACTGTACTAAACTAACGTTGAAAAAATAGCTAATAATCGCTACAATATGCCGTTTTTTTGTATTACACTATTTACAACACTACTTTTTTTAAATAAATAAATAAGTGGAATAATGCACACTACTTACAAAAAAAAAAAAAAAACTTCAGTAATTTCCGACCTCTGAATTGGACAGTTCTGAAAAAAGTGCACTATTTTTTTCTTGTCGAAGATCGAATTTTTCCTTACTGAGGTGTATTAAAATTTCAAAAAAGTCGTATTTTTAAACTTTCTTTTTTTTAAGAACTGTTTGACCGATTCCGTTCAATTTTTGCTTTTGTCGTTTAAAACAGCGTCGCAAAATTTGCATCACTAACAATTCAAACAATTTTTGATCTCTGTTAAATTAAATAGAAAATTACTGAAAAATTCTCTAAAAAATATTCCTTGATGTGAAATAAACTTCAAATAAACGAAAGCTATATTTTTGCACAAAAGCTTTTCTTTCGCTTAAATAGTTCGAGCCTGCTTATGTAATAATTACCCAAACAGTTGAAAAGAAATTTCAGGGCTGACTGGTCTCCTAACTGAAATATTAAGTTCACATCTTCTAAATTGCTGCTACTCCCCATATTTTGAGGGTCAATTCCGTAGTATATTTTATAAAGTCTTCTTATAACTTTTAGTATCATCTCTTTTCTTTGTTATGGCTGCAATAAACCTGTACAATAAAACAAATAATTTCTGTGTCAAATATGGAAAATGTAAATCAGTTTCACTGTTTAATTTCTGTTCTAAAACAATCGATGATATTGAGAAAAAAATACCAGTTTGACTTTTTTTTTAAAAATTTTAAAACAAATTAAATATTGTTAGCGAAGATAAAAGAAATTACTAACAGTAACTCGACCCTTTAACCTTGTAACACTATAATTGGTCGCTTTATAAATCTAAAACTACTTATATTTTCAAGTTTTTTTTTAAAAAATAATTTATCAAAACTTTAAAATAGTCAAAAATTTTAAAGTAATTAGAGGAACTGTACTATTGTACGAATACACCAATGTACTAAATCTACTAATGTACTAATAAGTATATATAATGTTTATTTTAGTCATCTGACTGTGAAGTCAGTAAATTAATAAAACACTTTTTATAAATAAATAAATGAATAAATTAATAAATGTGTGTTATAAAGGTTAATTGAGGTGTTCTGCAAGGTTTGTATTTATTTTTTATGATATACTACTGCACCAAATTGTGAAAATACTGATGAATTTCACTGCTTTAATTTCTGTAAAGGAGAAATTGAGAGAAACAAAAAAAAGAAAAAAATCTTTATCTTTCACAATTTATTTAAATGGATTAAGATCTTTACTTAAATCTTACACGTGTAAAGCCAAAGTAAAAATAAATAATGTTCACTCAACCTTCAAACTAATAGGATGACAATAGGTCATTAGGTAAATTTAAAGCCGATTAAACTGCCAAATTTAAAAAAAAAACGAGAAAAAATTAATAATTTGTGAAAGTGCTACAAATCGATCTATTATCAATTTGCAAAAAACAAATTCATATGCGTAGGCTGTTGCTTTAACTAGCTAATTGTGACGTCAGTAAGTTAATAACACATTTAACAAAACAAAAAAAAATTGCAATGACCTTGAATTAACTGAAACAATAAAATTGAAAAGAAATAATAGCGGTCAAAGCCATGATCATCTTCCTGCTAACTCGTTACGGAGCAGTTTAGTAATCACCACACGCATTGATAACCAATCATATTACAGGAATTCCCGAACATAGAGCTTGCTTTGAAAAAGAAAGAAATGTCGTTTTTGCGCAAGAAAAATTACGAAAAAACCCCCTCAAGCGCAAATTAGTATCAGGTGTCCGTACGTATGGAACATGTTAAACGCAATTTACCTGGGAAGTTAAGCTTTTTCGACTGATTCTATGTGTTTTGCTTTGGATATGAATGCTGCGAGTGGAATATAATTTCAAATCACCCGTAAGTAAATTTAAACAATTATTTTCTTTTTAACTCAATTAGATGAAGTTAATACCCATTTAATAGACGACTCTGTCTGTGACTTTTAAATGAATTAAAATATAAATTACTTTTTACAACTGAAATGAGTTTTATCATTGCATGAATTTTTGACACTTGTTTAAAAAAGTAATTTTCACAATGTATGACTTCCAACTACTACGGTATCTCCGTAGTAGTTGGCAAATAGTAGTTTCAGCAAATAATTTTTCTTTTGGTAATATAGATAAAGTATTATTATATATTAATAAATTAGGATTAAAATAATTTTTCGCACTACTATGTATGATTAATTTAAACATATATATAAAAGGTCTAATTTTCGAAATCAAGTTTGTCCTGAACTCCTAATAAGAATTTTATAGAGATTCTATTTGGAATAAATATTACTGCATTAGTTCTCAACCAGCGGAAAATATATTTTGCATGACCCACAAATGTTGCAGTGTATGATAATGCATGACAACAACTACGGATTGTCCGTAGTATTTCATTTTTATATTTAAAGTGGTAATCATATTTACTTAAATTAATCATAAACGTGTGACCACTTTTTTTACAAAGTGATTTTCTTGGTGTTACAAAATGTAAGTCCGGTGAATTAACGGTTAACCATTTTTCAGTTATATATTTGCAAAAACTGTTTGTTTAATTTAGCCTCTCAGACTCGAATAACACATTTGTGAACCCCACCAAATACAGAGTACCCAAATCCTCGAAAATTTAAAGACAAGCAATTTTCTCAGAACTGTTGAAAACTTCATAAAGTTAATTTACACTTTAGTTTTACAAAATCATTTTAGAACTTTCCGTACTACGATAGACGAATTGAAAATATTTTTAGCATACATGAATACTTCAAAGTATGTATATTCTTTAACATTTAGCTACCATTTCAAAACTATTTTCTGTCTGTGCATAGTCATAACATTTCAGGTCTGAAGAGCAGGTCTGCCAGCTACTACGCTTATTGCAAAATATTTTATAGAGTGCTAAACAATTAAAAACTGAAGCTTTAATAATTTTCGGCAATTTGTCTCATATTTTAAAAGCCTCCCCACTAGAGAGTTGTAATAAGGTGGCGTTTCTTATGAACTTTTGAATAATTTACACATACTGGTGTGGAAAATTACTTTGAATCAAATTTACAAAATAAAGAATCATGCAATGAAACATAAACTTAGGTATCACTAGAAGAAATTTCAGTAGGAAGTTTGCAGCCCTTAAAGAGGACGACTCTGCACCTGCAGAAGGAAGATCCTGCATATATACTTGATTAAGAATTAAGATTTCGAATATCTTATGGAAGAAAAGAAAAAAAATGAACATTTTAGTCAACAATCCTCCGATAAATAAATAAGTAAATAAAAAAATAAGTAGATAGAAAGATAATAATAATAAAAAACATTAAAGCAAATTTTAAAATGTCTCAGCGCTGAGATTTGATATAAATTAACCCTTCATTTACCGATAGTAAATAAATACATAGTTAAAAGGTTATGATAAACAGACGAGTCTTCTAGGTACATTCATTAAACAAAAAGTAAAAAAAGGATATATTTTAATAACATTATCTGTCACATTCAAATTTAAACTTTAGTTTACATAAAATGCAAATCTATCATTATTAAGCTATAGTCTTATAAATCATTCATAAACATTTTTGTCATTTCTTTCATGCGCATTTTTAAATATTTTTATTGTTGTGGCGGTCAAAATCACTTTGATTCAAATATTGAGTCATAAGTTTTATTACCATTGGAAAAAATATCCGCCTGTAACCAGATATGAAAAAAATATGAAATTTATGGAAATATCATTAACTTCAATATCTTTTTAAAAGACTCACCAATCAAAAATTAAAATAACTGATGGCCTTTTTATAAGAAATTTTGAATTATATGTAGTTTGGGGTAAAATAACTTAAGATAGTTTTCCAAACCAAGAATCATGCATTAAAAACACAAATTTTACAACAAATGACTTTGGGACACATTTGCTTTTCTGAATACATAACATTTTAGCAACTCCAGAAAAATGTACATACTATACGATATCTCCATCTGACATTGTATCTATAATTCTACAAAACTCTGTAAAAAATTTTGAGTATCTTAATGCTAAAAATGATGGCAAAAACCTTAAATCAAAATGGTACTCTACTAAGTGTTCCGCTATACCAAGAATTTTCTTTTACACTAAGTGGTGTAAAGTAGTCAAACATTTTTTATTAATTAAAACTAAAATTTATAACAGCAATAAGAAGCGATACCCATGAGAGATTGTAAAGCTACTTTTACGATAAGAATTATTAATTTAGAATGCATATAACATTACATTCGTTAATTCTTAAAATTAAACTAGTTTGTAAATGAAAGATACATGAATATAAAGATTAATTTTAGGTAATATTTATATTATTAATATATTATTGTAGGCATATAACTATCATATTTTTTCAAAATAAATCGTTATGGTATAACACTTGTACTACCACATATTTTTCTCGATGCACAAATGGGCTAAATTAGGTATACTTACAGTCACATTTCTTTTGTTTGCTTACGGTATATAAAGTGAGAAGTTTCCTTAGAAATTGAAGAGCTAACACAGTATAAACAACCAAGTTTTAGGCCAATGAAATTCTTTGTCCTATGATGATCATGAAGGAAGCAGTACATACTTTCGATGCTTGTAAACCTGATTGATAAAAAACGTATTGTATTATTTCTTTTTCATTTCTGCACCTTTAAATTAAAATCTGATGCACAAAAATATTATTTTTCAAATAAAATACAGTTAAATTTAGATTTCCCGTGGATCAAATCAAGGTCTCAATTTAATATATTGCGTTAGTCACACAAAATTATCTGCTCTAAACAATGATAAAATATCCGTGTTTACATTTATATGATGGAAAAAAATCAACGAAAGACATTTATTCGAAACAACCCTTAAATACTCTTTCTCAAGTTTTTGAAAAGAAAATGTAATACTTTGTAACTAATGTAAAGCCATACTTTATAAAAAAAAATTAAGAGGGGTAACTTGAAAAGTAATACATTAAAGAGTTATTTTTTCAAAAAATTGAAGCCTTCAATTGATCTTTTTACAACATTTTTATAAAATTTAAAAAAAAAAAATATTTGTACCATATTTAGCTTGGTTTATGGTCTTTAACAGAGTGATTAAAGAGACATTCTAATATTGCCAGAATATTATATATTAGAATTATGATAAATAAAATGACATATCACAGTAAATATTTATATAAAAAAATGCAACTATGGCTTATATTTCTAAGAAATGGTGAATAAATATTATTGAATTTAAATACTTTAGTAAAATCCTATTATCAAGTGAGACGGAATGTTTGAATCCACCCTATGGGTTCCGTAGTAGATAGAGCGCTCGCCTCCCTATTTGATCCGGGTTTGATACCCAGCGATGGCCGGTCGAAACGAATTCTGCACCCGGCTTGCATCGACCACAGTGCGAACGTAAAATATGGTATCATGAATCAATAATCAGTGGTAGATGGATCGTGGGCCAGAGTCCCCTTGCCGTCAGACTAACTGTGGGAGGCTTTCGTGGCTACGGATTTGAACACTAGCAGTCGTAAACTCAATAATTCGGTCGGCTGTTCAGCACCGGTTATAAAATAAAATAAAAACTACCCTATAGAAGTAGCTGTCGCTCAGGAGATATAGCGCTCCCTTTCCAATTGAAGTGATCCAGGTTCGAATTCCTGCGGTGGCTGGTTGATACGAGTTCTGCTCCCGGCTGGTCCTAACCACAATGCTGACGTAAAATATCTTCAGAGGTAGATGGATCTTGGGTTTGAATCCTCTTTCCGTCGGGCTAACCGTGAGAGATTTTCGTGCTTTCTTTCTCTATGTAACTCAAATGTCGGTTAGTTCCATCAAAAAATCCTCCACGAAGCTTAGTTTTTTCCCAATAGGACTTGTCTTTTGGATTGGGTTCAAAATTACAAGTCTACGGAGTTGATCATTAATAGTTGTAAGCTCATAATTGGACCTGTGATAAGATAAAATTAAAAAATATATATAATAGTCTGGAATTGGTTAGTTCTAATGTTGATCTCATTATGGAGAAAAGCCACATTTTCTGTACTTTATATGTGCAATGAAAAACGAAAAAAGTTGTGAGTAATAAAATAAATTATAAAAACTTAGACACAAAACAATTGTCAGTAATAAAAAATATAGATAAAGCATCAAAAAATAAGAACTAGCCGATCGTTGAAATGAATAGTAGCTGTGTGAGTTTTAATGTATCTTTATTAGTCTATTTCTCAATTTTACAATTTATAATAAAAAATATCAAGATTTTTCATCTATTTATTGATAAAAGTTTCATTGATAATTTTACAGGTTTTCTTATTTTGACCATGAAATTCTCTTCAAACTATTTGCAAATGAAATGGATTCTAGTTAGTTTAATCATTATAGGTAAGAAACATTTTAATTGTTCTAAATGTGCAAAACAAAATTAAACATCATGTTTGGGAAATATGAAGTATTTGCAGATAATAAAATAGTGTTTGCAAATAATTTAAAAAATAGGCGTTTTTATTTTATGATCAAAACTAGCCGCTGGAAGCAAACAGCTGGTTTGCTTACATGAACTCACCGCTTAACGGCTCCTTATTGATCCTGCAGCCTTCGGGATCATTTGAATTGATACATTTATATGAAGAGAAAGTAGTACTAATTTTGTTTTAAAAGTCTTTTAATTTCCGCATTATTGCTCATGGCTTTAATATTTCCGTCAAACAAACACGATTATCAGTAGAGTTATAAAATCAAATATACTGTGGCATTCTGAAAGTCTCTCGATCTGAATTCTTTACTGTTCACCATTTATAAATGCTGCTGTAGGTGAAAGCTAATGTGAAAAAAAGAAAAGAAAATTCTACCATATGGGAATCTCGGTACATTGGGTTTCATATTTGCCTAAAATAGGCAAACACTTTAATAGGGGAAAAAATTACAAAAACATCACTCAAAATTTCAATTTATGTGTTATGATTACTTCTTTATTCCATGCGTTATTATTTTTTGATCAAAGAATAGGTCTCTATAGGTTTACTTGGTCAGCTGCCATTTATTAAATAATATTTTAAACAGTAACTTAATAATAATTTGCATAATATTAAAAAATAGGAGTTTTAAATCCCTCCACCTACGATAATGGAGATCGTTTGTAGTACCCACACCCGTTCAGATTGCTGGTATCCTGGAAATAATGATTTAAATTATTCATAACTTTAATAAAATAGGAACGGTCCGAGGATAGAGCCTTGGATAAGTGGCATGAGAGCGCTACCACTAAGCTATTAAGACTCACCTAATTTTTCAATGTATTTTAACAAAGCTGTTTTTAAGTGAAAGTTAGTTACTGTTTGAAGTAGCAACCTATGTATAACTATCCGGAAAATGATTTCGTTTCTTGCTTATGAAAATGAAAGGCGATTTCCTTTTAGTGAATAAATATTTCATGGAATTTTATGTTGTTCATTATGGTCAAATACCTTATTTCCTCTTTTTGGCAATAGCATGATTCCTAGCTCATAAAATTTTTGTTCTTTACTGGTAACTAACTGATCTAAGTGATTTTTGAACTTCTCATTTGAAGTAAAGGCATTACCATCTAAAATTGTTTATAGGCGCTCAAACAAATATTGTGGGTAACCTGTCTTTCAGCCCCAGTGATAATGCGCTGCAAAAATCGAAATTTTTTTTTGTCGTTTGAGAAGCAAATAGTAGATGTTTAATACGACGTCATCGATTTTTTTTCCGTAAGAACATGAGAATCCACCAATTTGCACCAATTAATGCTTATTTTGCGTCTTCATCAACCTAAACTGGCTCAGTGCATCTAAATCAAAGTTTTGCAAACCAGATTTTCCACTGGCGTACTGCCTATACATCTTCTCCAAACACATCGGATAATTTTTTTTCTTGCTTTAACAGCATTTTTACTTTTTCGATTGTAAAAAGTGTATAATATGGCAAAATATTTTCACTTACCATATTTAAAAGGACACCAACCACAAACAACACAACGTAGAATCAATAGAACTTTCTCGTAAGCAACGGTTGCTATATCAGCTGTCAAAATATTTAATGATTATGCGGCTTGAGTGTGAACTTGGCTGACAAAAAATATAATTAAGTCCTCTGTTGGGAAGGAAAAAAAACAGTTTCCACTTTTCGAATTTTCGGTCTACTTTCCGAACAACCCAATATTACATGAGTGTTATGAGATCATTCTGATAAAATAAAAACTGTAGTCAATAGCTTAGTTACGAACGTTTTTAAATAAAATGAATATCTACAAAAAATCTTCAATAAAGCCAATGAAAAACTTGGATTTATTTTTCTTTTCCCATTTTAGGAGTTGCGTCAGACTCTGACTACGATTACGATGAAGATGATGCTTCTGGAAGATCGATTCGTGTTCATAGTCTTTATCAAGATCGTCCTTGTCAATATCGCAGGCGTGAAGGAGTATGTAAAAGGAGATCGGAATGTAGAAGACCGACAAGACATACTTGCCGTCACGGTTTGAATCCCATCGTCTGCTGTTTGGACAAGGTTACAACAACGGAAGCAACTACTACGAGTACAACTACAACTACGACGCGTCGGCCACGCCCCAATCCTAAACCAGATACGGTTAAAAATATTGATATAACATTTCCGGGTAAGGCAACAGACAATGTTTCGAAACTTAATTTCGCATAATCTTCTTTTTAACAATATTTTTCCATTTAAATTCCAGAAGATTTCGGTTTTTGATTAAGTAATGTCACAATTTCGATGCGTCAGAATTGAAGTTTTGATTGATTGAATTTGCATGACTAAATTAAAATTATGTTGTCGAAAGCTGACTAGCTTGCATTAGAAAGCTGAATATCTGGATTCCAAAGGAACATACGAAAGCATAACTTTTTACTTTAAAAAAATTATTTCTGTTCGAGAATCTCTTCGTGGGATTCGTGTTTCCAGAATATTAAATTGCCGACCAGGTGGCCGAGTGGTTAACGTGCCTGTCTGCGAAGCCAATGGCTGCGGGTTCGAATCCCGCTCTGGACATGGATGTTCCTCTCTCTCTCTCTCTGTTGTCTTCTGATGTGTGAATGTATGAATGTGGCCCACCCTATGAACAGGTATTTGTGGCAGTGTGGCGTGGGTAATGTTGCTCGCCTCCGTGACTTTGGTTCACAGGTGCCCACTGGGTAACGATAAATGAGCAACACTTCCGGCATCTTCTAAGGCGAAGAACGAAAGTTCAGTGCCTGCTGTTAAAAAAAAAAGAATATTAAATTGGATAAGTAAAGTGGCGAGCCTTCAAATATACGTATATTTGATTTTACAATCAATACAGAAATTTTACAATCAATTTTTTTTAGTTTTATTAGGACGCTGGTCAGCTTATGTAGTTGTAATTTATTTTGACTAAATCAAGATAGTTGGTTTAAGATTAAAAGTAATGACTGGAAATTATTGAAGAAAATATTGAAAATTTGCATTGAAGAAGAAAATTAGAAAATTGAAGAAAATAAGTTTCATTTCTCTAGTTAGTTGCTATAATTAGTAACTAACTATTAATTAGTTAGTAAGTATAAGTTAATATAAATATTAAATCCGGAAATGGGCACATCATGTTTATCCGACCTTTAACGTTTTTTAATTTTTTTATTGGAATAGTTACGTATGCAACAATCTTTTCTCAGACAGTAAAGCACTGTAGCAACCTGTTTGTTACTTTTGATTCATAAAAGAAATCTGTTGTGACATTTCAGGGTCAGCATTATCAAATAAAATTTGAGCAAATTGAATGATTCCTTTCTGAGATATTTATACCAGAGCTTCAAAACATACCGATGAGAGTTAATGGAAAAATCGATCAATTTTATACATTATTTTGTGCTCTTCACAACGATTAATGCAAAGACTATACTTTTTATTTATTTATAGTACAGTGATTTTAAATGAATTTACAGGTTGTGGTTCACGGTCTCCAAACTTTGAAGACGAAATACGCAGAACTGGAAGCAGCGGAAGATCGCGTGGAGCATTTGGTCGTGGTGGATTATTTTCACGGCGGAATAAAAGAGAAATAAAATATGTCCGATCAAAAAGTGAGAAAGTATACACATTTTCAATTTCTGACTACAAAAATCAGGAAAGATTGCTGTTTTTATTTTGCACTTCAAAATAATTAAATTATTTTCACTCTAGGACAACTTGGTTCTGCAGCAAGGCCAATTATTGTAGGGGGAGCAGAGGCCAGGTCTAATTCTTGGCCATGGATGGTTAGTACAGAAATACCGAATTCTCTAATCCCTTTATAGCATGTATCAGTTGTTTAAATTATATACACCTAATTATATACATCTAATTATATACTAATTATACACCTAATTATATCCTAATTATATACATCTTTAACACCTGGGGATTTTACCTCACTCCCACATACCTGAGTCCTGTATCCTTTTTTCTATTATTTTGCACTGATAAAGGTTCTTGTTAACAGAACCGAAACTATGGTGTCTCCGATTTCAGGCTATCATTTTTGTTTTCGCGTCATTTAGCTTTATTTAAGATATAAGAGAGTTGCAGTAACTTTTAAAAATAAAATATTAAATTATTAATACGACTACATAGAGAAAATATTGAAATTTGCAAGTTTTAAAGCAAAGTGAAAAAAAAATTGCTAAATAATAAATACGAATCATAAGCATATTTGCTAGTTTAGTATGTATCATATGATGCATGCCTAGAATATTAATTAAAATTAAAAATCGAAGGAATAGTATACTTGTAGAAAGAACGAAGAATTCGCAATGGTATCGGTATCAAGCCAGGCAAACCACATCCAGACTCGCTTAACTACGCCAAAGTTGTAAAAAACTTTACCAGTAGATTTCTTTCTAACTTCAAGCATTTAGTTTTAGTTCAATTCTCTACAATGAATGACTTTTTAGCTAGAAAACTGATTCTCATTTGGGCAATAAAAACGTAAATTACTTGATAAAAGTACCAAGTGTACTATCATAGTTTTTAAAATTTAATTACTTCACGAAATATACGAATACTTAACAAGGATTTCGATATAAAATGGTCAAGATAATTTTTAAGAACAACGAAAATAACTGCATGTCTTTTTTGGGTATCTGAAACTCGAAAAGAAAATTGCTTGACTATTCCCAACGTTATGATTTAAATCAGATTTAATTGGGTACCTGTGAGTGACGTCATGCACTTGTATCGAATTTAATTGGCTTCTGAATTGGCGAATGTCACGATTTACCGGCGATGACGTTGCTTGCAGGTATGCAATTCTGAGATTCCACCAGATAAAGATTCCTTGTCATTGTAGATGCTCGCTTTGTTGACTCAGTATTAGAAATTTCATTTCTATTCTGTAAATTTTCGTTGTCAGCCAGTAATGGACAGTTACCCATATGTTGCATCTCTTTGTATCTCATTTAATTATAAAAAATGAAGTATAAAGTAAAGTGCTTGCTTTTTTATTTAAAGGTTGCTATATTCAGAAAACCTTCACCAGGAGTGAAAGATAAAACCTTTCTGTGCGGAGCGTCACTCATCAGTAAGAAATATGTGCTGACAGCGTCACATTGCTTTGATGGAGAGAGAAGAGCTCCGTAAGTTAGAAATTCTTAAATTTAGTAATCATATTTAAAAAGACAAATAAAATGGTAATAAGATGATTAATAATTAATCTTTCACGTAATCGATTACGTGCACGATTCGCACGAAGTCAAATTTATTACCTCCGTATAGTGAATTCTTGATATATCTATTATATATAATTCTCTTACGTGGCTCCCAAATGTTGTCTGTATTTCTTTTAAATGTAAGTGAAGTATTTA